CATACTCTAAGAACGGCTGATCGTGAACACTTACAACCATGGTATAAATATTTGAAGCTTTTTCTCACTGCACTCGTAAAAATACCATGTACATCAAATCAAATTGTCTGGCGTGGAGTGCAAAAGAATATTAGTAATGCATTTCCATGTGGAACTCAAGTGATATGGTGGGCTTTTTCATCATGTACAGCGACACTTGCTGTATTAGAGAATGATCTCTATTTGGGCAAAAATGGAGAGAGAACACTCTTCTCTATTGAAATATTAAATGGAAGAAATATTCGTGCTCATTCTCATTTTAACGATGAAGATGAATATCTACTATTGCCAGGAACATTCATGGAAGTACGATCACAATTGAATCCAGCATCTGATCTTCATATAATTCATTTGAAACAGAAGATACCAGAAGAAGTTCTACTCGAACCTCCATTCGAAGGTATGTTGAATGTTTTCAATAAATTATTTTTGAGTCAAAGCATTTCTATACATTTCAGATGCACTTCTTTATCCAAAAACAAAGTAAGTTATGTCATAATTCGGACTAAATGCAATTTTTAATGGTTCTTTTCATCATATCTCTTAGGCGTAGGTGGTATCACAAGAAGAGATTCATCATTCCAATCATTTTGACAATATCTATGTTCATTACGGCAATTATTCTGGGCTCTGTTTTGGGATCAAAACCCACAAAAACACAAGGTATACTTTACATTGCTCTTTTTTCCACTTAAAGACGAAAGATGGTTCACGTCACAAGTCCTATTGTCGAATTTCACATATACCGAAAGATATTAGTCCTTTCACATTCAAAATTCCTTTTCTAACATATTTCTATTTGTAAGAAAATATCTCTTTCTCTAACTGGACAAAGATGAGTAGAAAGAGTAGAAAATTTTTATTAGAAGAGCTCATAACACTATAAAATGTTAGCTTCATTGTTATGAATGACATACAATTTGTTGAATTTCGTCTTAACTATTTTACTGAGTTTATGTTTGAAGTTCATGTATTGTTTACTTAGTATGGAATACAACGACTCCACTGATCTGTGGTCTTTCATGTGACAATCAGACACGGATTTCGACAACGAATCTATTGGCTCAATGGCGATTCGATAGAACATTTCGTGATCAAACAAATACTTATAATTTGACGGCAAGAAATAGAGCTGCTTTTGTGAATGGATACATTAATCATACTCTAGTACTCAATGCTCATTTGAATCAATCGTTATCAACATCGTACATTCCTTTGGCAAATACAAGTTTTACTATCGATTTTTGGTTGTATCCTACCGAATATTTTAACATGCAGTACCATGTTATTGCTTCACTATGTCCTTTTCTTGCTACTAGTTATTGTTTTCATATACTTCTTCGTAATCGAACCTCGAACTTTATGTTATATTGGGGATTTTATTCCGATGATGTTGATGGACAGACTCCTATATTATTGAATAAATGGACACATGTGACAGTTACATTTGATATGAATACTCTTCAACAATCAACCTATATCGATGGAATTCTTCGAGATACTCACCAAGCATTAAGACCGTTCCTTGCTACGACTGGTAACTTTTTCATTGGTTACTGTCCCCAACTATATCCTGGCAATACTCATTTCCAGGTAAATCTTGATAAAATCAAATTATGTAGCACGATATATATTCCAGGACAAAAACTTTCTCTCTGGCATCATCCATATTTCGATTTCTTGAGTCGAAACGGAGTTATAATGGATGTTACCTATTTGTGCTGGTAGAGGATCCTTTTTGATCGGTAGACAACTTTTTTCTGTACCAGCCGCTATGGGTTTTTTTAAAATTGATCATACAGGTGTTTTTTCGTATATCGAACGAGTTTGTCTGATATCAATGACTATTAGAATACTGTTATTAAGTGAATATTCATCAAAAACACATCTGATACGTTTTTTTTCAATCATTTAGCAATCAAGTTGTATGATCGAAACAAAATAAAATCACTGTTCGTCGTTTCATTTTGCATTATTTTTATATCATATCTTTCATAGATACAAAAGAAATAACAAAATAAACATATTATGTGAAATATCGACTTTGTGGACAATTGATTTCGAATTTCTATGTCTGACGAACATTTCATCTTTGTACAAAACTAATATAGAATTTGTAGTCCGATGAAATTTTACGTTCTTCGATAGATGTCAAAAGAGAGAAAACTTATAGAAACAGGTAGTGAAGGAAAAGCTTTGAGCGTAATCCCCACGGAATTAAAATATTCGACGTGATGGAGCTACTTCATCTATTTTTTTGGAATCCAAGGTGGAAAAAAACGAAAACTCCTTACTTCAGCATACTTCAAGGATGTATCACGAACATATTAGTTTGAGTTCATTTTATATAAGTTTGCCTAATACTAAAGCCCAAATAGTTCATTGTACCTCAAAATTTGAGTACCAGTGAAGTAAGATGAGATATTTGGACTTTAGTGTCAGACAGACTTATATAATACCCTTGAAGTATGGTGACGTAGGTAATTTTCGCTTTGTCTCCCTTGGGGAAATCTCATCGTCTATATGACAGACCATGGCAAGATCAAAAGTTATCATGCCGAAAAATCTGTTAAGTTGTTACCAACGTATCAAAATTTCTATCATAATCTGTCAGTAGGTTAAAATAACATCAGAAGTTGAGGAAGATGGGATCACTTTTCTCACCAAATACTTTAACGTTTATTGACAATCATGTTCAGTTTGACAACTCTGTTCATTAGGGTTATTACTCACCGAAGAATCGTGCTACATGCTTTCATCCTTTCCATACATAATTGTTTCGGGAGGCTGACAAAGAATAATCAATCATTAGTTCAACTATATAAAAACAAAAAGAATCTTTGAAGTTTTGCATGAGTATAATAAACCAGAGAAGAACATAACAAAAAACTAGATCAAGTTATATTTTTCTTAGAACAGAAATTGATGATTTCTCTCTACATTACAGGGCTGTATCGATCAATTTTCAATCAGCACACGAGTCAAGTCTTCATGTGAAATTCTCGAACAAGCTACGCTCGTAGCTCGATTTACATTCGATAATGCTACAACACCATTTCTCGATTCTGGACCTAATTTGACACCAGCTAATGCTTTCTCTTATTCACTCGTACCAGGTCCTAAATCTTCAACAGCAATCTCATTCAGTGGTTCAAATAGATCGTATTTTCAAGCAGTTGGCTTCACTACTCTTAGTCTTTCTAATCATGAATTTTCTATTGCAATGTGGATCAAACCTCAATCACAATCGGGCACAATCATTCATATTTCAACTGCATCAAATGGTACTGGTGCTGGTTGCATGCCATTCATGGGTTTGGCTACTAATGAACTTCTTGTCGTACAAATTCCCATTTCTAAAAGTGTTTCATTATTATCATCGCCTATCACTTTGAATGTCTGGTCACATATTGTAAAAACATGGAGTCCAGCATCTGGCTTACGTCTTTATGTAAATAATGTCATGGTATCTTCATTACCTACAGCGAATTTGTTTTTACCTTATAGTCAGTCACCGGTATATGTGACATTGGGCAATGGTCTTCCGGCTTCAGTGAGTTGTAGACAAGGAATACTTAACTCTACGATTCCATTCACTGGTGCTATCGATGATTTTCGAGTATATAATCGAGAACTAACAGCCAGCGATATATGTGCAATCTATTCTAGTTCCTGATGAAGAAATTCTTTTCATTCTAGAACTACATTTGACTAAATGACCTTATTCATATTTTAAAATATATTCAGATCTTTCAAGTTCAATCAAAGTTCATAATCATTATGATTTTTATTTTAATAAAACTTTCGATGCAATCCCTACACAAGATTAAAATGTAAACACGATGGAGACACTTTAACCATTATGGAGAAACCTCGCTACGTCTTTGATAGTTCGTGATGAGATTAATATCCAGCATGTCGGCAGTAGTGTCAAACTTGAACGTTGAATTCAATTACTGAACTTACAGTTCAAATGTGCAATTTTTCAGTTTCACAAGAGAGATGCTCTGTGTATATGTTTCCGTGGCGTTCATCATATGAAGTGGTAAAATTCTGTTTCTAGGAATACTATAAAAAGGATATAAAAACTGATGTGCATAGTTTTGGTTTGAGTTAAGAAATTCAATTTAATATAAATACAATATAGAAATGATGGGTATACTTCTAGTTGGTGTTGGATGAGCAAAGTCATTTTCGATCATATATGTATTTCTGGTAAAAATTAATATCTTGACCTAGGCCAATGCAACCCCAAATATATAGACAGTATTTCTGTATATTTTTCACAATAAAACGAATCTTTTGATCCAACCCAATGACAACCTAAGAATTGTATTCTTTCAATTGAATGTGTAAAAATGAATTTTAGCTACATGTTATCGATATTTAATCTAGACGTTTACAACGGTATTGCTTGGCTTCTATCATTCATTATATAATAATGTACGGAACCTTGAGTTTTCTGAACATAGGACTTTCGTATATCGTCTTTTAATCGATGCATTATTTGAAAACAGATTACTATCAGACCTTTTTCTTTTAAAAACTATTTGTATATCAAGAGACTAAATTATACAATTGCAATCTTCGATTAAAACATATTTTTCTTCTTATATTTGCAGAAAAAAAATATTAATAAGTTACATTGAATTAGAACCTATGTTATTCTTTGCTTTATTTCGCACACACGCACAGTTTTTAGTTCCTCCTACGATCATTCTTTCTCTAAATCGCATACGTATATATAGAAATTCTTCAATAAAGACAAAAATCATAAGGAGAAGAACACAAACATTGAGCAAAAGTGAACGTATGTTGAACTAGTGAATGCACCAAACGATGAGAAAAATATTCAAAGAAAAAACGAGTACTCGTCAATTGAAAATTAAAAAAAACACAAAATAAATATAGGATGAACAACGGAGCTTTGTTTTAGATATATAGTGGTAGAATGAGGTTATTAGTTAGTTTCTGGATTGCTTGATAATTCACAATGAGGTGATTGTCTTGCATTAAAACTTTTGAGTACTTGACATACATGATCATGCTGCAAAGATTCGGCTAAATCATATGCAGTTACATCTTTTCCTTCCAAATGAAATAGTTGATTAACATTTGCACCATGTTCACATAGGATTTGAACTATAACAGCATGACCCATAGCTGCTGCAATGTGTAAACATGACTGACCACTCTAAATAAATATCAATATTATATATAGAAGATCTAATCCACAAAATACTGATTCTTAATAAATTCTCTGATTAATAAAATAGTATTCATTAACTATAATCAGAAATGAAACTAGTCGAGATTTTTGATAATCGAAAAAGAAAACATAGTTTTGAAACAATTTGCTAACAACAAAATTTCAAAGAATGTCAGTTCAAATAATACAAAGAGAGATATATAACAACAATATCCTATTCTTTCATTGAAGTTTTCATAATATGATTCAATAACATTCAATGAAACAATGACAGGATAATTATTGATCTTCTGGCCTTTCTAATAGGGCAGATTCTGGGACGAAAATAGAAAAATAGTTTTCATTTCAGCACACATCTATTGAAAAAAAAAAGATTAGCATCAACAATTGCATCATTTTTTAGTTCATGTCAGAAGATCTCTGACAGTAAGAGACAAAGATCTACACTCCTATCATTGCTTGTAAATTGTTTATTATTAGTGGTTACTAATTTTAGAGACTTTTATAAAAGAGTCGAACCGTGTTGTCATAGTTTCTTAGTATTATATAGAAAAACAATAGGTTTTGAAAGCATTTTAAAACTAATAACAAAAGCTCTTGATGTCATTTTGACATGTATTCTGTAGATTTATAAAAATTTTCGAATTCCAGCGAATCAAAGTTTTCGAGTCGGATCAATTCATGCTCGAATACAACTGGAGGGTCTCGAGAAATTGAACCAGAAATCTAAATACGAGCTTCCGAAATTTTACTAATAAAACTTTCACCAATGGTGAAAGTCTAATCATCCAAAAATATACTCTGTATACAGCTAATATGCATTTGTTTCTTTGAATATTTTCTGTTTTATTTTTATTTTTGGTTAACTATTAATCCTAATGATTAGTTGTTCGTCTACTTACGTTCTCTGTTCCATTGACATCAGCTCCTTGTTCAATTAAATATTTAACAATATCTTGTAAGCCTTTCACACATGCACAAAATAAAGGTGTACGACCAGCTGTTTCATCCTAATAAGAATAACAAATTCATAAAATTTATTGATAAAGTCTTTCATTCATCTTTTTTTTTTTTTTTTACTTCTCCTTCTATCTTGTAATTAACATCTAAACCGGCTTCAATTAATAAACGTATAATATCTATTGAACTCGATTCAACAGCAACAATTAAACCATTAATTTTTCTATTAAATACATTTTTTACTTCAATATCGTGTCGTGCCCCATGTTGAATAAATAATCTTGCTAATTCAACATTATTATGTTGACAAATAGTAAGAAATGGTGATGAACCACGTTCAGATGTTACATTTATATCTGCACCAGATTCAATTAAATATCGAATAATTGCTTCATGATTTCTCATACATGCTATTAATAAAGGTGTTTGATTTTCAATATGAAGATCACGTGCAACATGTCCTTTTGGTGATTGATTTATATCAGCACCATGACGTATCAACAAAATAACAACATCTAAATGACCTTCTTCAGTTGTTGTATACAATGGTGTAACGCCAGTCTAAAGTAGAAAAAGAAAATTAATTCATTTTAATAATCAAAATTTATTAAATAAATATACCATTGTTACAGCATTAACATCGGCACCATTTTGAATAAGATATTCACAAATTTCGACATGACCTTTTTTAGCTGCAGCAATAAGAGGTGTCTAACAAAGAAAAAAACCAAGTCCGAAGTCAGAAAAATTGAGTACATGTATTGTACCATATCAAACATATGTTTAAATCCGCCGGAAATTTTTCTTAACATCTACTAATAGCTCAAATACTACAGTATATTTAGGTGCATATGTTTTATCATGGTTGAGTTATGACTCAACCAGGTGTACATTTGTAATATAAGCATTATCATTGTTAATAAAATAATCAATTTAGTCAATATTTTTCGATGATATCTCAATCGACAGGTCTATCAGGTGCATATAGTTTATCTTCTCGATCGTTATAAAATTAAAGTCTAGTCATCGAAAATAGAACAAAGATCTTCATGAATAATTTTTCATTGAATAGAAAGTTCAATGCAAACTTTATCATAGAAATGAAAATTTTCTTAATCATTTAAAAAAAACAAAATTACCTCAACAGCAAGTAAAGTTTCTATAGGTATTTTTCCTTGTGGTGCGATATTAACATTAGCACCAGCTTGAATAAGCATTTGAACAAGTTCTTGATTACCCGATTTAGCACAGAGATGTAATGGTGATACACCACAATGATTTTGTATATTGACTTGTGCTCCTTTTTCAATTAAAAATTTCACAACATCAATACGATCTTTTAATGTAGCTATAAATAATGCTGTTTCACCAGTAATATTTAAATCATTAGCATTTGAACCACTTAATGTAAAATTAATATCAGCACCAGCTACAATACATGCTTCAATTATATCTAAATCACATATTTTACATGCAAGTAAAAATGGTGTCAAACAAAATTTTGTTACAGCATTTGGATTAGCACCATGTTTAAGAAGTAATTTAACAACATCAAATTTTTGTGATTTCATTGCTGCATAAAGTGGTGTCCAACCAGTTATTGTTAATTTATCAGCTCGATAACCAAATGGAGCAACATGTGTTTCAGCACCAGCATTTAATAATAATTCAACAACTTCTAAAAAACCTTTTTGTGATGAAATCCATAAAGCACTAACACCATTATTAGTTTGAACACGTGGATTAGCTCCACAAACTAATAAACATTTAACGATATCTGTACGACCTCCTTTAGCTGCACAAAATAATGGTGTTTGACCATATAAATTCAATCTTAATGCTACTAAACCTAGAAATAAATCAATTAGTTTTATTAATGTTATAAAAAAATAACAATTTCTAAAGTTTTCTAGAGAATTATTTTTACCACTTGGTGCTAATTCTAGATAAGCTTCAGCTTGTATAAGTAATTTAACACATTCAAAATAACCTTGCTCAGCTGCAAGCATTAATGCTGATATACCCGAATGATTTTGATGATTTGGATTAGCATGATGTGCTAATAAACATTTAACACATTCAGGATGATTATATTTCGTTGCGCTAATTAATGGTGTTAGACCAGCTATTTTATTATATTCAGCTAGTTTACCAAATGGTGCTGCATCAACAAGAGCACCACGTTGTAATAAAATATTAAGTATATCCAGCCAACCAACTTCGGCAACTAATAATAGTGGTGTAATACCTAATAACGATGCTTTGTTCACATCGACTTCGTGACATTCTATATAGAATAAATAATAATATGTACAATATAAATAATAGATTAAGTAGTTATACAAACTTACTAGCTAATGTTTCAGTGATAAGTTTATGTTCTTTTTCAATTGCTACACTTAATGCTGTTAAATCACCTACTTTTCGATAACCTAAAAAAAGGAAGATTTCATTGTCAAATAAATCAGTATATATTTATATAAATTAATAGATATGTACATATTATTCAGAAAGAATCGCAAGATTTAAATACCGCGTTTCTCATATACTAGACCATCGAGTAATTTTATTTGAAACTTTTAGTTTATACCATAGATGCAAGTTTGAATACCAAATAAAAGATTTATTTGTTATATTATTAATTTATGTTGTTACAAGTTATTCTAACAGAATATATAAGCTATTTAGTATACAGTGTGTGTCCAGCTGAAAATGATTATTTTTTCACATATTTCGAACAGTACGAATATCATTTCAAAGAAATGAAATAGTAAAGTACCATAGAACATTAAGTTACAGTTAGATATCAGTGAATAACCTTCTTATGTTATCAAAGCTGCAAAAAAAACTATGTGTTGTGAATGAATCTTAAAAAAAGCTCATTGAATACAATGATTACTCTTCTCAGGAACAAATTTTTTCATGGCGAGATTTTTTGTCTAAACTACATATACAAATGAAAAATATTTGTTCAGAACAAGAAAACTTCCACAGGAATGTGAGCATTTTTTCGAATAGGTCTAATGTGAAAGGAATTCTATTAGATTAATGCATTATCATGATATCCTATTCTTGTAAAATCATTGAAGTTTGACCAAATAAATTCCATATACTCTCAAACTCTGAAAATTCTTGTTTTTTTTATCAACTTCTTTTACTTGTCCAGTTTTTACCGATCTTCTTCTCATTTTAAATCGAGAACAAAAAAAAAGGAAGAAAGCTTTTGCAAGTTTTTTACATACCCATATTGAGCACCTCTTTCTTGATCGTTGGTGGTTTATGACGATCCAATTCATCAAGTATATCTTTAAGTCGTTTAATATCACCTATGTTTATGGCCTCGAATATTTCTTGATGATATAGTTCAATATAGCTTTCTAATTTATTTACTGTCATATCTGCAGAAGCCATCATATCTGAAATAAATTAAATGATCAAGATAAAAAATAAAATTCCATTTTGCATGTGAATAAAGAGAGGACTTACATTAACGCTCTTAAACGTTTCTTATGTTTTATCCTGATACTTATGAACTTCTGAATGAGGGCACCATGGAAAATGTTATTAGAAATGTGCTGTTTATTAATTACGTACAGGAACAAATTTTTCTGAAACAGTGATATATCTAAGGAATTAAAACTTCAAGATTTCGAAGAATTTCTTAGGGTTTTGTGGTTCGACGATTCTGCTATTTACCTTTTGTATTTCGCCCTAGCTTTTACTGAAGGTTGTATTGAACGAAGCTATTTACATTCACTCTCACATATTCTTTATGGCAGAAAGCTTCTTGTCTACACTCATATTCACTACTTTTTGTCATCACTTTAACGCATGGAAGTAAGATTGAAACCTCATTCAACTTACTTCCAGTTTCTGTTCTGTGTTCAGAATCTTTTCCTAGACATTGACGTAATACTGCAAGGCTAGAAGCTATCTGCGCACATTGTAAAACATTGAAGTATTATTTCGACAATTTTTCGGATTGTCGAAAGCTCACCAGTAGAATTTTCGCAAGCCGGATTTTCATCTATTGGTGAAAAGTCCAACGAACTCACAGATACCAATATCTCTTTGACTTTAATAACAGATCGTTGGCTCATACTGTAGAAACTCTTTCTCATCTGTTTTGTTAATCTGTGTGTCGATGATTAGAAGGAAAAGAAAACAAAAATGATGTTTCAAAATCAGATTTATTTTGTTCATCATCAAGCACATCACGAGCTATTGAATGAGAGCAACAAGATATATATCAATAAACATTGAACATAGTTCTCGCGTGCATGCTGCATAAGTACTATTCTGCGATAATTGATGAAAGTCTTATTGACAAAGGGCGGAAATCTCATTTGAGGATGCGCCTGTAGCGAAAAAACCGTTTTCCAACTCATTATAGTCGTGCTTACATCAAAGATATCAGACTAAACATTTATGAGAGTGTTCGTGATTCGAAGCTTTATCAACTCACCCTATCGGGATGGTAAGTAACACAAATGTACTACCAAACTTTTGGCCATTTTTTCACGGATTGCCATAGATGGGAACATTTGACTTGCCTGTAACATGTGTATATAGCTTGAGATTTTAGACAGTCGAAATGAAACAATGGTGAGTCTTTTCTTTCATGCATTGTTGTTTTACGGAAACGTTTGCACTACGTATAGCACAACTTTATGTGATGTGAACCATTCTAACCTGTTTGTTACCTATCGTTAAATCGCCCGAAACTTTTCACCCTCAGTCTTACGGATAGCTGTACGACCGAAGTAGTATATTTCTTAACATTAAGACATTGTTCTGACATCCGACAATTTTTTGTTCAACCTGACGCAATGATAAATGGCGATGAAGAGATTCTATGTAGGTAGAAGTTGTCTTCTGTTGTTCTGACTGCTTGTCAAGTTTGTCGGACATTTTGAGTCCTCATTCAAACACACTACTGTGAGGCCGGTAGCTTTCCGCTATGTCTCAATCTTAAGTATTGTTATGCGAACTTGCCTTTTCTCTCTCACTATGATAGTTTCGGTTGGCCAGGAAGCTCCTCATCCTCACGGATGACTGTTTTGCTGGACAGTTTTCGCTTTCATTCTGACGCATTTTCTCTTATAGACTGTATTCTTTATCTGATTCGAAAATTTTCGTCCATTCTTTCAACCATTGTTATCAGCTTCGAAGTTTTGTTTTCACACTGTGAGATATTGTTCTATGGTTCGTAGGTTTTTTCCTTGGTCTAGTGTATTAATATGCGGAAAGTTATTTGTTGTCATCCTGATAGCTTGCCATTTACTGTCACGTTTGATACTTCAAAACAGAGTGTCGCGAATAAATTAAGTTGACGAATAGAATGGAGTAAAAAGAAGACGAAGTAGTGATGCAAAATATATAGACAGAATCATAGAATTGAGATCTATGAAAATATAAAAGAAGTATGGGATGGATATGGAAATCTAAGTCAACTGGAAAAATAACTAATGATTCAATGATATTTGTGCTATTTTGTATGACTTCGAAATCACTTTGATTTGTTTTTCAAACTATCCTAATAAGGTACTTACCACAATAAAATAATTTTAACCAAAACAAACGCGAAAAATTCAATGGCGCCTTGTCATCGATTTCAGATTATATGATGTATATGACACTGTTTGGCTTTTTTTGTCGAATGACTCGTTTGCTACTTTTGAAAGATTACAATATTTTATCTTTCTTATCTTTCTTGCTTTTGTTTGAATTTTTTCAAACTATGAATTTTGTTGACAATGACTGCATTTATCAAAAGTAAAAGCATTAAAGATGAGAGGCACACTATGAGTGAATGCAAACAAGGAGAGTGTGGATGAACGATGTTTGTACCCATGATTCTTGACTTCATGCACATGCAAACATACCAACATTCACAATTCATCCACACTCCCACATAAAAATAAGGTTGATCTTATTCTTGAATATTTATTAGTATTCCTACATATCACATGATTCTTTTCTGAGAATTCGTTTAATATTATGAACTTTCATTTCGTACATAACTCAAATCAAAAGGATTGAAAATAGAATAAAAAACTTTTCATATGAACAGTGAATATCATGATTTTATCGGGATCAATAAAATCGAATGTAAAATCATTCGTATACAGACGGAATCAAGACTAACCGGATGGTAATCGACTCCTCTTGTATACTAGTCTTATTGGATATCATCCCTTATTTTTTGCTTATTTAACTATGTTTAAAAGACAGATATAAGAATAATAAATTTCTTGAGCAGAATTATTTTGTGGAACTCATATATATTTTCGAAGAAAATAGTGAAAGTAAGTTTTAAGGTTAAGTTTTCGCAGCTTCCCATCCCAATTACAGACATCCCTAGGGGCGTACCCAGGAAGGAGGTGCACAACGTGCTCGGGCACCTCCTTGGTCAAAAAACGCCTGGAGGAGATACGGATAAAAAATCTTTTTAAGAAACAAAAATTTATTTTGTTGCTGGCATGCACCCTCTATAATGAGTTGGATACCTCCCTCCCATTACAGACTTTAGCAATTAAGAATAACAGGCATCAGACTTTCTAGTTTTTCTGAAGAATTGATCAAGTTATAATTTTTCAAGATAATCAACTGAAAAATAATGAGCGAATAGCAACAATGCAAAATAACAATAGGGCACCTTTAGAAAAAAAAATTCTGTTCGAAATACAGAAATTAGAAAAGTTCTTACTCTGATTTTCGATTATCCTGTAGAACAACTAGTCTACGAGAGAGGTTTCTCATTTTACATATTTTGTATTAGTTTAATGAGCCTAGAGAACACATGTTAGTTCCATATCTCAGTCACAAAGGGGCTGCGCTAACAAGCTTTTTTAATCTCATTAAACGCATAAAATATGTAAAGTGAAAATTCTCGTAGACTATAGTTGTTTTAGTTCTGCATTTCAAACAGAATTGTTTTTCCTTTTTTTCTTGGAGGGAATTACTAAGATTTGTAATGGAAAGGGAGGATGAGAAAGCTACAAAAACTTGAACTTAAAACTTACACTTACTATTTTCTTCGAAAATATATGCGAATTTCAAAAAATTTTAATCACATATTTATAAATATTTAATGAACCAAAAATAAGAACAAAAAACTATGATTGATATATTCGACATTGTTCAAGATTAGATATACATAATAAATAACTTTTAAGTAAATCCATCGTTCCATAGCCAATCATCAAAATATCTTTTATAAAATGTATTAATGGTGATTATGTTCATTTTTTAATTGCATCTAATGCTTTTATTTTTTATTAAATAATAAGATTTTAAATTAGAAAAATTATTTGTAAACATTTTTTTCACATATATCATGTATATAATTTGAATGATCAACGTTCCAAATTATATAAGATAGGAATATTAAGTTTGTGACTAATAAGTCATTTGTTACATATTCAATAATACGATGATGAACATTTATAAAAAAATACCAGTTTAATATCAATTATATAATCATGAGTAAGAGTATGAATATATGGAAAAACAATAGTATTATTAGAAAGTTTTGAAAAAAGTAAAAGAAAAATTATTGATAGATTTAATTAGATTAACCCCTGTGTAAAAAGTCTTCGTACAAAAGTTTTGCTCGATTTTCGACCACTTATAGATTGAAGGACAGATTCAAAGGTAGTCAGCTAGAAAGAGAATTCCTTGCGCTTTCTAAATATATATTCAGAATTTTATTCTGACTTGAACTTAATTCATTAAGAGAAGATATTTGATAGGGACCAAAAATGACGTTTGTACAAAATACTAGTTTCAAGGGAAATGATAAATATGTTTGCTGATTTTTCGATCATTTAAATATAATCGAAAAGAATCTAAAGTAGTCGGTTAGAAATAGAATTCGATGGTCTTTCTAAATATATCTTTAGAATTTTGTTCTGATTCTTATCTAGTCAGCT